TCAGTCCTAGAAGGAGTGGGGTTTGCAGAGAGGAGGAGGAGGAGGAGGAGGAGGAGGAAAGAGGTGGAGAAGCAGGTGGAGGATTCATGAGGTCCTTGGTTGTGTTTTTGCAGATGTGTCATTACCCAACTAGGTAACACTGTCAATGCTAGAACTAATTGGGTAATGATACATCTGCAAGAAAACAACCAAGCTCACAGAATATCAAGGATCCCATACTTGATAATATCTCCCATGGTTTCCAGCTGGAAAATGTGACCTGTCTGCCAGGTTGGGTCACAGATCAAGGTGCTCTTTATTGAACATCACCTGGCAGGGATGGTCCTTCAAACAAGGAGAAGAAGATGAAGAGGTCCCTTCCTTCCTTCCTTCCTTATAGTCATTCTTGTCTTCTATTGCAGGAATCGAGATGCGGGTGACATCCTTGAACTCATGGACTCAGAAGATGAGGACCTGTACTTGGAGTCCACCGGGGAACCAACGTTGCATCAGACGGAAGGGAGAGGAAACGGATGTTCTACCAGATCTACTGAAAGTAAGCTGAATGAAGTTGAGGGACGCTGCAGGCAGGCATTATTCCGTCTCATTTTGTCCCGGCGGTTCCAAGGTCTGAATCCCAAAAGGGAATGACATCTTTTTACCATATTTTTAAAGAAATTCTTCTCAGCGCATTTCTTAGGCCTTTTTTCAAGCGAAGTATAGGTCCCTCTTTGAACCGTTAAGGGAGAAATAGGCTTCTTGTGTTGCGTTGGTAGGAATCACCCAATCGGATTTCATGCCCAAGATGGAACTAGAACTGCGATGACCCGTAGTCTCTCAAAATAACCCCAAACCCAAAACATATATTAAAGTCCGGGAAGGCCTTCAGCTTAACTTCGCTGTTTTATTAGGCACAGTTTAAAGTCACAAAAATAAATAATGAGGCAAAAACAAAAACAAAACAAACCGCATTGAAGAGAGTTCCGAAGCAAGCCGAGATAACTAATCATAAACTCCAGGAAAATAACCGAGGAGAGTCCATGGGAAGAACGCCAGCACAGATAAACCTCTTTCAAAGTAAACACTAAACTTTGACTCCAGCAATTCTAACTGCGCAGTTACAAACTTATATACATAGCTCCCAGCTGCAGCCACGAGAAGGATCATGGGAATCTCCTCTTGAGTAGACCTCGCTTTTCCCTGATCCTCTCCTCCCTGCGTGCCCTAGGATGGATAGGAGATGGGCCTGGATCCTGCTCTGACTGCTCAGCCGGCCTCTGCCCTTCCCCAGCCTCCTCCACCACCTCTGGAGCCACACTCCCACTCCCTGTTGGCTGTTCCTCCTCTTCCTCAGAGTCTGACTCTAACAAGGGCATGACAAGAAGGCATGATCTCCTGATTTCTATCCTAGTGCCATTAGACCAAACTGGTTCTTATAATAGGGAAGGGAGGAAGACAGATGACTTGGTAAAGCTGCTAACCGAATCTGTATATGTGTGTGTGTGTGTGTATAACAAAATATTCTTAAAATACGAGTTCCAGGTATACTTGTAAAAGAAGAAACAGATATCCTGCGATCTCCGGAACTAGGCTGACCACAAGGTCACGAGCAAAGTGACAAATTGCAGTAGCTTGCAGGTTAACATCACCTCATACAGATAAGCATTCCAGGCTAGGTCTGACAAGGGAGGAACCAACAACAAGAGATAAGCCTCCTTTGACTAATATGACTGAAGCAAAAAAGTTAATTACAGATGGGAGGCGGTTGGAAGGGCCTATTAAAGCGTGCAAGGGCTAAATTGATTAATGATATATAAAGGCAGAGATCTTTGTAATGGTAGCTTAACACTCTGACAATGTCAGCAGAGGCTGACGAAAGCTTAGTAAGTACAAGAAATATAATTTTTAGTTCTGGAGATCGCAGGATGTCTGTTTCTTCTTTTACATATGTGTGTGTGTCTGTGTGTGTGTGTGTGTCTTTGCTTTTTAATAACCCCATAATCCCTTGCATCGGGGTGGAGTCAGGGCAACTGAATGGAGCTGAGTGTTTACTGGCCGGATGCCCTTCCTGTTGCCAATGCGGAGTTCGCAGCAGACAGCGACTCATGGCGCCGAGAGAGAGAAATATCTGCCGCTGCCTAGGATCGAACTCACAACCTCCTGATTGTGAGGCGAGAGCTCCACCCCGAAGCCACCGCGCCACTCGCTAACCGTCCCTGGCTATGTTTTTTGTTTTTTTAAATTTCTGCGCCTGTTTTGCAGGCTCATTTCCGGAAACGTCCATCTCCCTGGAGGAAATCCAGAGGTCCGAGCCCACGTCGTAGGGAGGGCGACCTCTTCCTTTGCGTTATGTACTAAGAACGGAAGCCACCTTGGAACTACGGGACCCAAAGGATTCCTGCAAAGTTGTTCCCATCTGGGTTGACACCTCTCTTTTTGCCTCTTCCTGTGCTTGCTTGCCGCTGCTGCTGTTTGGCTGCGCGGCCTGCCCTGTGGAGTTTGAAACCGCCTTTGTGATGTAGGCGAGGATAAGAATGCAAGGGGCCTTTTACGGAACCGGAAGCAGCAGCATTCCCGGTGCAATTTTCCGTGGAGAAGCAGCCTTGAGGCCTTGCGGAAGAGCTGGAGGAACAGGGAAGAGATTTCCCAACTGGTCCTGGATCCCAGGTTCCTAGCTTGGATATGACTCTTAATTGGAGTCAAAGCTCGTTAGGGAAGCTGTTTCAGGAAAGGAAAAGTCACAGCAGCTTCTGTTGGGGGCAGAAAACAATAACTGAACAGGGAAACATCACCTCTCGCCTAGGGGTGGAGGACTTGAGGCAATCTAAAAACACTTTGTGCCCAGAGGTGGGTATTCAGCCGGTTTGGACTGGTTCACTAGAACCGGTAGTGGAAATTTGGAGTAGTTTGGAAAAATTGGCAAATACTACCTCCGACTGGCTCCACCCCCATTTATTCTCCGCCTCCCATTGAGTCCCAGCTGATTGGCTGGATCTTCCTTGGTTGCCCTGCACAGGAGAATGGAGCTGGAAAGCAGGTTAGTGGGGTGGGGAGGGAATGGAGATTTTACAGTCACCTTCTCCTGCCATACCCACCAAGCCACGCCCACCAAGCCACGCCCACACCACGCCCACAGAACCACCACGCCCACCAAGCCACGCCCACAGCTGACCGGCTGGGTCTTTTTTTGGCTGCCCCGCACAGGAGAACGGAGCTGGAAAGCAGGTTAGTGAGTGGGGTGGGGGGGAATGGAGATTTTACTGTATCGTTCCCCTGCTGTACCCACCAAACCACCCATCGAGCCACTCCACATCCACCAAACCATGCCCGCGGAATCGGTAGTAAAGATTTTTTTGAATCCCACCACTGTCAAATTGTGTTTTCTAGGGCTTGGATGTAGGAAGTGACTGAGAAAGGTCATCATGTCTTAGGTCGTCCAAGACGAGAGGCAGACATTTGGCGGGGGGGGGGGGGAGCTTCAGGCAGGTGTCTACCTCAGCTCTACCTGGGTATTGAACTTGGGGTCTTCTTCCCACGAAGACGATTGGGCATCCCTGAGCTACAACGCTTCGTTTCTGGGGTCTTCAGTGGTCCGTGAATTGTAGGAGCAGCCGCAGCTCTTACCTGCCAAGGTATATAGTCAGTCTGAACTGTGCTAGATAACTGTATAAAAAGATGAATATATATATATAACTGGAAAATCATCGGCATCGTTTAACGAGCCCATAATCCCTTCTGGGTGGAGTGGAGTCTGAGTGACCGAATGGAGCTAGTTTTAATGGCCGGATGCCCTTCCTGTCACCAATGAGGAGTTATATTCAGCAGATCCATTCTCATTTGTGCCCAGAGAGAGAGAGAGAAATAATCTGCCTCTACCTAGGATTGAACTCGCAGCCTCCTGACTTCTAGGCCAGCGCCTAGAAATGGAAATGAATTGTTCGAGAGGGAAGACTACCGGTGCCTGTTGAGGTTAGAACCACAACGTACAAATTTGATGCTGGGTGTCAGATGCTGGAATAATGTACAAATCTTGAGTCAGGGTCTATTTATGGACCTGCAGGCGGGTTAGGTTTTTCTCCTTCAAACACCACTTTTCCGGGTGACATAACAGAAGAACAGAGTTGGAAGGGACCTTGGAGGTCTTCTAGTCCAACCCCTTATCAGGCAGGAGACCCTGGCCTATACCAATTCAGACAAATGGCTGCCCAAACTGCCCCGTGTTCTCCTGCGGTGTTGCAAAGGCAGTTTGACCTGCTCCACCCCTGAAAAATCATCATTTCCTCTCAAGGCCGGTAGCAACCAGAGGTCAACATTCTTACTGCCTTGTAAATCTGGATGCGGATCTTTTGTTCGTGGAATAAAAGGGTTCGGCTTTTGGAGACAAAGGTTAACTGCCTGCAAGGGGTGTGCGTACGTGTTTGGTATGTGGGTGTTACTAACTGAATAGTGTGAGGATTTTGTAATTCATTTCACACCTTTTAAGAACTGGAGCTGTTCTTGTTTGGCGGCCTTAAGCTAAAATGCATATTATTTATGCCATTTGCACCCTGTTAACCAAGGGAAGCATTTTTCTCTGTACAGGTAGTCCTCACTTAATGACCACAATTGGGGCCAACGTTTCTGTTGCTAAGCGGGACATTTCTTAAGTAAAGACTACTCTTTACTTAGACTGCTTTACTCAGACTAGGCTCCCCGAAAGTCCATCTGGCTGTGGAGGATGGGAGCTGTGGTCAAGCCAACGGCAGCTTGGGGAAAGCAGCTGGATGGATCAGACTCCTCCTTCTGGAAAGCCCATCAGGCTGTGGAGGATGGGAACTGTGGTCAAACCACTGCCAGATGGGGAAAGCAGCTGGATGGAGCAGCCTATTCTCCCCGAAAGCCCATCAGGCTGTGGAGGATGGGAGCTGCGGTCAATCAAATGCCAGGTGGGGAAAGCAGCTGGATGGAGCAGCCTATTCTCCCCATCAGGCTGTGGAGGATGGGAGCTGCGGTCAAGCAAGCGCCAGGTGAGGAAAGCAGCTGGATGGAGCAGCCTATTTTCCCCGAAAGCCCATCAGGCTCTGGAGGATGGGAGTTGTGGTGAAACAACTGCCAGGTGAGGAAAGCAGCTGGATGGAGCAGCCTATTTTTCCCGAAAGCCCATCAGGCTGTGGAGGATGGGAGTTGTGGTGAAACAACTGCCAGGTGAGGAAAACAGCTGGATGGAGCAGCCTATTCTCCCTGAAAGCCCATCAGGCTGTGGAGGATGGGAGCTGCGGTCAAACAAGCGCCAGATGGGGAAAGCAGCTGAGGGTCGCCCCGGCAAATGAGTCGGGGACGTGCAACTTTCTTCCGAACAGATCGGTTGCAGGCAGGCAGGCAGCCCTCCACCTGCTCCCCTTCGCAAGCCGCCGTGCGCCCAGGGCGCAAAAGTGGCGCAGGGGCGGAGCGCGCCTCCTCCTCCTCCCTCCTCCTCTTCTCCGCCCCGTCTCTCGGCTGCGCGCCGGCTCTCGGACTACTCGCCGCCTTCCCATCCTCGGCAAGCCCGTCATCTGACTCCTCCCGGCTCGGGAAGAGGAAGCGGCCCCCCGGATGGAAGCGGCCGCCCCGGGCGAGGGTGGCCGGCCGCGGCTGCTGCGGCCGCCGGTGGGAGAGGCGGTGGCGGAGGGTGAGTGAGTGGGCGCGCCAGTCCCCTTCGCCCGGGGGAGGCTCGGCGAGAAGGGCAATTCCGGCGTTGCCCGAAGCAGAAACAAACGGGAGGCTGGCACCGAAAAGCGCCTGCCTTTCAACATCACCTGGTCGAATCGGACAAGGGCGTCTCGGGCACCGGGGCGGGGGGGGGGGAGGGAGGGTTGGCCCGCCCCAGAGACCAACAAGGCTCTCCCCCTGCAGTGGCCCTTTAAAAGAGACCCTGGGATCTTCTTCGCTGAGGGTCTCCAAGATCCCACCCCTCCCTCCTTCCCCTTTCTGCGTGCGCGCAACTGCCTGGACAAATCCCTGCAAATTTTGCACGGGTTGGTTTGCCCTTGTCTGCTTCTGGGGCTGACCGGCCCAAAGACACCCCCACACATACACCACCCGGCTGAATTTGTGCCGAAGGTGGGACTAGAACTCAGGGTTCCCCCAGTTGGTAGCCTGGTGCTTTCAGCCGCTAAACCCGTTCTTAACCTTTTCCTCCCCTTCCCTTTCCCACCCTTCATTTTCCTTTCCCTCCTCTCTCCCTTTCCCATCCTCCATTCTCCTCCACTCCCTCCCCCTTCCCTTTCTCACCCCCTCCATCCTCCTTCCCTTCCCTTTCTATTTCCTTTCCTTTTCCTCTCCTTTCCTCTATTTCCTGTCCTTTTTATATTTGTCCTTTCCTTCTTGTCTTTCCTTTTCCTTTCCTCTCCTTTCCTCTATTTCCTGTCCTTTCCTTTCCTTCTCTCCTTCCTTTCCTTTTCCTATCCTTTCCTTTCTCTATTTCCTTTCCTTCTCTCCTTTTCCTCTCCTCTCCTTTCCTCTATTTCCTGTCCTTTTTATATTTGTCCTTTCCTTTCCTTCTCTTCTTTCCTTTTCCTTTCCTCTCCTTTATTTCCTTTCCTTCTCTTCTTTTTCCTCTCCTCTCCTTTCCTCTATTTCCTGTCCTTTCCTTTCCTTCTCTCCTCCCTTTCCTTTCCCTATTTCCTGTCCTTTCCTTTCTCTATTTCCTTTCCCTCTCTCCTTTCCTTTCCCTATTTCCTGTCCTTTCCTCTCCTCCTCCCCTCAAATTAAACCCTCAAAATTAACTTTGAGAGCGGAGCTGGAAAGCAGGTCAGTGGGGTGGGGAGGGAATGGAGATTTTGCAGTATACCCTTCCCCTGCCATGCCCAACAAGCCACACCCACCACGCCATGCCACGCCCACCAAGCCACGCCCACAGAACCGGTAGTTAAAAAAAAAGAAAGAAAATTGAATCCCCCCACTGGATGGGGTCTGCTCTGTAATGCAACTGGCTATCCTCCCCTCCCCAGGAGAGCCCCTCCTCGTGGCTGAGCTCAAGCCGAGACGCCCCCAACAGCACGACTGGAAATCCAGCTGCGAGACCTGGAGTGTGGCCTTCTCCGCCGACGGGACCTGGTTTGCCTGGTCACAGGGTCACTGCGTCGTCAGGCTGCTCCCGTGGCCTTTACAGAGGACCGAGCAGTGAGTATCCTACACCAACCCGGGGGGGTGGGTGGTGCTGCCCTCTTCCGAGGCTGGCTTGGACCGCCAAGTCCTTTGGACTCCTGGTAGTCAGAATAATAGAACGGGCAGAGTTGGAAGGGACCTTGGAGGTCTTCTAGTCCAGCCCCTTGCTCAGGCAGGAATGGAATAGGAATAGGAATAGGAATAGAATAGAATGGAATGGAATGGAATGGAATGGAATGGAATAGAATAGGAGATTA